GCACACACACGCACACACACGCGCACCCGCACACCCGCACACCCGCACACACTCTCGCAATGACATTCAACCTCACGCTCACGCTCAACGCGAGCAAACTCCACCTTGCTGCAGCATTGATTTTCAAGTGGTTTTTGAAGTTGCAGTTAAGGCGTGAACTAGTAGCAAGACGAAGCCAGCCGCAGCGTACTTTCATTCCTGTTAGTCTTGCGTGCTATGACAGTGATACACAGGCTGTTTTGTGAGAGCATGAACGCTTTCTTGCTTGGCCACGCCGTCCGTTGTGGTGTGAAACCCAAGTAGAGCAAGAATGTGACTCGAAAAGATGTCAGCCGCTGTGGTAGGGCTGGGGGCGTGCAGCAGCGCCCATTCCAAGCCTGCTCAGCGCCGCCTACGCGTGCCGTTTCGCCGGATCGCGGAGGCTCAGGCTGCCGTTCTGCTCATGGCTCCAGAACTGCAGATTTGGCTGATTACATTGTTCCATACATGTACATGACAATGCAGGGCTGGCGCATCCACCTGGTCGTGCCTCGCTGGATGCCATCCAGATGCCCTGCGAGTCTGCACCTGAGAAGGGAGGCAATGTCTCAAGTGTTTTTGCAGTGGCGGAAAAGCAATCTGAAATTAAAGGGGACCTGCAACATAGCCCGTGGACGGGTTTTGCCTTCCACTGCCCAAAGGCAAGGGCATGTTACTTCAGCTGCAAGCTGCTGAATTGCTCCTAGACGTCCTTCTTAGTAGGTCGAGGTCGAAGCAGCAAGCAGGAGGTATATAGTCATCAAAAGTCGCAAGGACCTTTCGCATGATGTTGTATGAGGCCAAAGAGCACGATTAAGACTTAACGGATAAGAACAGCAATCCACGAATCAAAGAGCAATGCAGTTGTCTAAATCCGAGGCAAGCTGTGACACCAAGCAGCCTCTTGCAGGCGACCACATTTGCTTGGGTGCTGCGTTTTGCAGTCAAAGCTCGCATGTCAGAGGGCCTGAATTTGAATCTGGGACAGTTCACAAGCCGCAAGAGTCCTCTGTGAGGCCCGCCCGGTGTCAGCAGAGGCGCTGACGCAACAGCATCAACAACATCAACAGCGCCACACCATCGCCTCCTCACGAAGCCCCGATTACGATTACCGCCCAGGCCAAATTTCTTTGCCAAAGATGTGAGGGATGGGTCCATGTTTGCATGCGCCGACGACTGGCGGCGTTTTTGTGCCACCGAAGGGCTGGTGTACAAGTATACACAGTCCGGACACAAGGCTCAGTCTCAGACTCTGACATGGTCACGTGCTGAACTACGCACAGCAAAGCGCTGTGCAACTTGAGCGCAGCTGTTGGATGACACGGGAACGCTAGTCTCATGTGTGCATGGGTCGTCGGCGAGGCTTGAGCAAATCAATCAGCAGTTGCATGAGTGGCTGCCGGCAAATTTGAGGCTTCGTTTGTTTTGGAAAGACAGCGATGTTGAAACGACTAGAAAATTTGTCTGATATGAATCTCCTCCCAGTTGCCTTCCTGAAGTCGCGGAGGCGCAGCCCCTCGCGGCAATTCACGACTGGGAGCTGTGGTGGAGGCGACGAGAGTTCCGAGTGGTCCGAGGGTTACACCCGGATTTGCGCCATCTTGCCACTAACTCTACCTGGGAGATATGAAGCCTGCAGCGGCTTCAACCTACAGCAGCGATGTTTGAGTGTCGTTTGGAGCTAGCAGTGAGATGCTTGCAGTTAGAGCTTACAGCACGGTAGCTGCAGAGGGCTGAACAGACCCGCAGCTGCACGACCCCGAGGGCACCGTCACTGTACACCCATCTGCAAAAATTCGAAGTGCTGGAAGCAGGAGGAGACAGGAGCACCCAAGCCGCGTCCGACACCGCAGGTGCCTTTCTCGGTTCGGAAGCTTGGGGTTTCGGCAGGTTATGGAACGTTGTGCTGAGCCATCACGAAAGGCCTAGCTGCAAGGGCTTCAGTGTGCACTCGTTTCTAGGTCAAGAGTGCAATTTCGACATTGTATCCTCGTTTCATCATTAACACGTTAGTTCTCCAAAACCAAACTTCAAACTTTTTGGGTTCTTACTAGTATAAGTTAGTAGTAATCTTGAAAGTTTAACATTTTACTTCCCTGGCTCATTGGCGAAGTAAGACACACGAGCCGAACAACAGCCAAACTGCCATGCATGAAGCATTCAAAGCTTTCCAGCGCCCGGATGGGGAGCGGCAAAAGGTAAAAGCCACAGAAGTCATTGGATGCCAGCCCCAAGTCACGCCCTCAGCCCCGATAGCAAAATATCGTCCGATCGAAAAGCTTCGGACATTGTCAAATACCAACGGCAAAGCCTAGCAATTCCTTACAACAGTCAGAAGGACCGCTGAAAGTTCTGCTCTTGTTCTTTTCCTTCTTCTTGGCACCATCCTAGACCATCGTGCATAGAGCAGTGTCGTAAATAGGGTTTTCTGCAGGTGGACAAGCGCCCTGCTGCCTTGACCGTTTCGCCGAGACTGATGGAAGCAGGCTGGGCGAAACAGTGCATCCCAGAGATCTGTCGCACTATGAAGCCACTCTCGCGATCCCGTGAGATGGCAGATGCGACGCATGATTGTCCTTCGACCTGTGTAGCTCGCTCAGAAGGCGTGCAAGCTTGATAACACTGGGCCTGAGAATTTGCCAACTCATCGTGCCGGTAATGCAACGAGCGGGCTCCATTCGCTGAGATCCGCGCTTCTTGAGAGCCTTCAAAGAGAGGGTAGTCCAGAAAAAGAGGATGCCTTGTGACCCCCTGTGTCCACCTAACCTCCCATCGCACCAGATGTCATGAAGGAGCATGTCCTAGTTTTGCAGGTCGTTGTCCCCAGCATTGGACACACCCTCCTTAGACGGCAATCCCGAAGATGCGAGAGCGTCAGAACCAGACCAGTCTGCCTGCAGATCGCCTTGTCAGTGCTCCCATGCCACAGGCCGATCTGCTGGGTCCAAGGTTCAGAGTTCTTCGCTGGGCTTGGGGTCCTCATCAGGCAGTCGTGCAAGTTTATAAGAGTTGACTTCATGCAAGTCTGTCTTTGAGTTTTCCGGGTTGGGAGTGAGAATCGTGACAGCCGAAGCCCTAAGATGCATGATTCAGCATCCGTGCCGTTTGAAGATTTTAGGTCGTCATGGGGTAATGGGTGCATGGTCCCACAGGATCTGGAAACTATGTAGAATGCTCGCATCCAGAATCCAAGTCTATGCTGCCAGTGCGCAGTTGGAGGCTGTGAGATGCACACTTTCGATCACAGAACACCCCATGCCCATTACTGCAGTACAGTCACAGAGAGAGAGAGAGAGAGAGAGAGAGAGCGAGAGACACTAAGCCTTTCAGCTGTTCTGTGTTGTTGGCAGTGAGAAGAGTGGGCCCTTTTCTTTCGTACAGCCGAGCCCCTCATCGCACAGTGATGGGGGGGATGAAAAGACACCTGTGGACCGCAGGTGCGCGCACGCGCGCGGAGGGTTGGGGACGGACACTACCCCAGCTCTCCCCACCTGGTAGAGAGAGAAAGAGAGAGA